GAGAGAGAGAGGAGAGACGAGAGATGAGAAAGGAAAGAGAGAGAGAGAGCGAAGAGGAGAGAGAGAGGAAGGGAGGAGAATGAGAAGAGAGAGAGAGGAGCGAGGGAGAGAGAGAGAGAGAGAGAGAGAGAGAGAGAGAGAGAGAGAGAGAGAGAGAGATAAAGTGAGTAAGGGGATAGGGTTTCACGCACACGGCCCATCATATGTACCAAGTTGTACACGTCTTACCCTCGTGCGTTTATGTAGCATGACCCATATCTAACGCAGCTCCGGAAAGTTTGGGCGAGAGAAGGAACGAAGAGAGTTACCCGCTAGTGTAAACTAAGGCCCTCCCCCCAAAAAATAACATTACATATATGTGCGTTTGCATAAGTTCAAGATAAGCTCTGGGTTCAGGTATAGATACTTGCGCGGAACTACACGTGTAGTAGTTCTAGCACTTTGAATTTGATATATAGCAGGGGCTAATAATGACAAATTTATTGTCAAAATTGTCATTATTAACTCCTGATATATAGTAATAGCGATACATGGGCTTGGTGCTTTTGTGTACGCAAGGGAGAGTGACAAATTCACACGCTAAAAATGTGCGTACTGAATGAAATCGAGAAGGAAGGCAGATGTTTCTTCACGAGCAACTGCTGAGGAACACGGTAACTGACAATCGCTAGCTATCCACTGCGGTTCCTTATATACAGACAGAACTACATAAATAATATATAATTATAATATATGATAGTCAGAACTACAGGTTCTGTTCACTCGTGCTTAGAGATCACTGTTATTTAACTGGTGCCTGGTATAATGGATCGTGACTGGTAGGTTCATTCATGATTAGAAATCCCTGTTATTTAAGCTGTGTCTAACATAGTACTCAGTAACCGCCGCTCCTCTGTTTCCTGCTACTGATATAACGATGCGGTTGCACATGTACACGATAAATAGCACGCACAGTTGCAAACCACTCATAGTAGCAGTCTGAGTAGTACATGCATGCATCGACGTGTAGAATTATAGTCTGGTTTTGGAAAGGAAATCCTGTCTGTTAATGGCTAGAAGGGTATTCTAGACTCGTTGACACAGCACTCGGCACTTAAAACGATGCCTCCGAGTCAAAGTTGGATGAATTGGGGGAAATTTACGTGCACCTACACACGTTGACACGTACACACATCTAAAATTTCTCAATTTCACGGCTTATACAAATGCCCGTCACCGTGTCACCTACAAGGCTTTCATCAGGAACGCAATTGTTTAAAAGTACGATAGCAACCCATGTTCTTTCGCAGAAACAAGCTGAACCGAATCAACTTGATTGTTTTGAATTGTTATTATACATACTCATTAGAACGTATGACGTTAGACCGACTTCTAACAGATCTAAAGGCCAGCGCACACGTAAGTAATTTTACTGAAGTAAAATGCTGCATGTGTCAAAATACTCACGTGTGCGCCGGATTTCCTTTGCATTTTCTTTGATACGCATGCACCAAGAAACTCAATATCAAACATGTTGACTCACGCGTCAAAATGCTCAACGTGTGCGCGCTACTTGCGTAAATTTACTCAACACTGGTACTCACAGCGCATGCGTTTAAATCGTTTTGAAGATGGCTGCGCCCAGTATAGCCTTGGGTGTTTTATCGGAAGACAAATTGGTGGATTTTTGGCCCGATTATGAATGCCTATACGTCGTTAGTAGCCCAGATTTTAAAGATAGGGAGAAAAGGGAGCACGCATTTCAAGATCTCGCTATAGTAAAAGAAACAATAACATTTCTTCATCACCGGGGGCAGACGAACTATCGGTATCCGCCAATTTGTACAGTCATGTGATCTACATTACCACTTAATACCTTGAGTAATTTTACTCACGTGTGCGGCGGACGCTGAAAATATTTCGCGTGAGTATTTTTACGCATGCATAATTTTACTTGAGTAAAATTACTCACGTGTGCGCCGGGCTTAACTAACAACAAGTATATTACAGAGGCAATGCGTGACACCGCTAGTATTATGTCGTATAGGCTACTATTTTAGAATATAAAATTATTTACCTTCTCATCGCTTTCCTCTATTGAAATTGTTGTCATCTTTACAACCAGTTCAGATCTTTCTTCTATAGAGCCAGCTTCATAATTGTTCTTCAGGATGCCTAAAGAAAATCAACGAAAGCCTATCTTATACCAGTTCAACAAGCGACTACACTTTTTATATAAATAAGAACACCACGGTGGAAAGGCATGTCTGATGGACATTACAGAGAAACACAACTGTTAAAACCAATAAACATTAAAAGCTTCTAATAAAATAAAGGGAACGCCTTCCGTGGTAGTGATGTTCAAACACATTCGATTAGAAACTTCTGATACAGTATACAAGAAGTTATAACATCAGTAAACAAATGAAAAATATATACATTTCAGTTTCTCTGTGCATGTAAATGATAGCTAATGATTGGTTTTATAAGCCAATTACGTTAATAGCCACAATAATAAAACGATTTAATATCATCCATCACATCTCATCAACTTGGGTATAATTATCGCTGCATGCGCCACTGTGCGTCATGAAGTGTGCGCTCCCGTGCTACGCGACGTCTGCGAAAAATAAATTCCGCACGCGCAAACTCGATTTACGAGATACAAATTAACGTAATTACGATATGCCGGGGCACCAATTTGCTTCCCGATCGCATCCTGACCTTCGTACATCCAGCCACGTACTTACACAACTCAATACTCCCCGAGCTATGAAAAAAACGACCACAAGTAGCTTCCACAAGAAACCAAATGCAATGCAGCACGGGCAAAAACGCCTGAAGGAACCAACCACGCAGGTAGGTGGGTGGCCGCGGTGTGAACCTGGAGACAACGCGAACGATCGGTATAACGCAGCAGCAGCCTGCCAATCCCGCAGACTGCCGATCCCTTCTGTGTTTCTTTACACCACGTGAGTGCAAAACCACACATCGCAACTACTTGCGGTTGCACTCACCTGCGCCTACCCTCGGCTGACTCAGCTGTTCTGTGAGTGTAAGAATGGCCGTGTGATTGATAACATAGCACTAACACGCGATCGCCTGTAGCACCTACCCTTGGCAAGGAACGACGGCGCTATAAATCATGGCAGGGTATATAATAACCTGACAGACGAGCTCTCAGCTCTCGAGGCTATACGTGCAATTATCGGCCGATAGAAAATTCACTTTGCCAACCTTCTATCGTTTACACATGTACGTAGGCACGCACACCCTAACCCTAACCCACACGCGCGCGCACGCACGCACGCACGCATATATATATAAAGTTCAGATTTCCATATGCAATTTAAATTATACAGAAAATATTGAAATGACAACAACTGGAGACATAAATATGCATAATTATGTCTCCATGTGTTGTCATTTCAATATTTTCTGTATATATATATATATCAAGAGCTAATAATACCTTGATATATATATATATATAGATAGATAACGTAATCGTGATCATATATTTACGACTAATGGTTTCAACTGCATCCAGATACATAAACATAGCAGTGCACCTCGTTAGACCTCGCCAGATACAAGCTGCCAGATATCACTTCCATTTATATATAACACGCGTACCTAGAACAATACGCCTAGTTGTTGTTGTTGTTGTTGTTGTTGTTGTAAGATTATTTTAGGCAGTCTGTTAGAGTACATGATGTTAGTCTCTTCCCCTTCCTCCACCCCATCCCATACGCATATATATACATATACCAGGAGTAAATAATGACAAATTAAGGTTTGTCATTATTAACTACTGATATATACATATATGTTAAGAATAAATAAATAAATAAATATATATATATATATATATAGAGAGAGAGAGAGAGAGAGAGAGAGAGAGAGAGAGAGAGACCAGCGAACTTGCCTGTCAGTCGATTAGTTCGTCTGCAGTGACTGTAGCCGAGCGTGACGTCACACTGTGACGACGAGCGCACGTGCATTCCGTTTGTCACGCGCACAGACATGTTGTGTTTCTGCCGCTCCTACTTGCGAACTTTGATACTGCTTTTGCTGATGCTAGAGTTAGTGTTGTGGGGCAGAAATCAGAGGCAAGGCCCACACACAAGCCGCCCTGAGATCTTCTACGGAGAGACTTCTCTACGAGTAGTTTGACGTCGCAGCGAGTTGAAAGATCACGATGGTTGACGCACTCACTCACACACACACAGCTCGTTAACGGATTTTCAACAGCTACTCGCTACTCGCGGGCACGAGTGTGTCGCGCAGCTGGGTTGCAGCCAGCTAACCCAGAGACGGCGAGTCAGCAGGGGTGCACGTGGCACGAAACTCGATTTTTTTAGGTCAGCGTTTTTAAAACCAACGTTAGGTCACGCAATACGTACGGGAACACGGCGGACACTGGCCGACAACCTCGTTTGTAATGTACGTAGCGGGCCGTAACTATGGGTACACCTACGACATCCAGCGGTGTCAAAGACAGATACAGAGAGGATGCGGGCGATATGCTAGGGATGCTGATGAGAGATAAGATGTTTAACTAGATTAGGTAAATTGGGGAGGATATGGATCGTGAGGAAAACAGGGATGAAGATGCTGCGGAAAATAGGGAGGCTGGGGATGCTGGGGATGCGGAGGAGGTTACAACAGATGGCTTCGTAAGAGCAAATGGGTCTCGATCGTCTTCTTGTTGCACTTCCCGATAGTCTCGATTCCTGCAATGCCACGTATTCGATGCTCGGGAACGAGGTGTCCTGTTATAATGTCACAGCTCTCTCTCTCGCATCTCTCTTTTTATTTCTCTTTCTCTCTCTCTTTCTCTATTTCTCTTTATTTCTGTCTCTTTCTCTATCTCTCTTTATTTCTGTCTCTCAATCTTTTTTTCTCCTTCTTTCCCTCTCTCTCTCTCTCTCTCTCACTTTCTCCCTCTCAATCTCGCTCGCGTGTAAGCTGCGTGTGTCGGCCAGTACCGTCTACAGCTGGCAGGTGATGAACAACCGGTCACCTCTTGCGTCTGCCGTCCGTCATTTCATTCTCCGTTTAACTTCTGTCTTGTTTTCTCTCTCTTTTCGATTCTCCGCCTCGAAGCTGTTCGCGAGGCAATTAACCACAATCTCACGCACGTATTGACACGTCGTAAAAAAACACTGAGAATAGTGACGCGAGGCCAGCCGCTGCGAGTTTGAAATCAGTCTATGATTTTCCGCAGGTAAATTTACAGGCGAGTGTTATTATTCGCAGTGAGTCGATCATGATCCCACACACTCTCACACACGAATGTTACACGCACCGGCAAAAGACTAGCAATGCTTTCATGTTCACACTGTAACAACGAAATTCACACCGAAGTTTCCTATTCATGCATCTATACATGTGGGAAATTATAACACAGACAGAATTCAATTCTAGCTTTACGTTGCTACGCGCTCACGCAAATGCGCTCCTGTAGCAGCACGGACGCACTCGAATTTGAAATCGGCAGCGACGGCTCTAGCTTCTAGCAGACGGAGGCAGCGAGCATGACCGGTCCTACCCTGCTACGTCCTGCCGAGTGTTATTACTCACAGCTACACGTGAGACCCGTCGCTGCCCATGGTAGACAAGCCGAGAGAGAGCGCGAGAGACGTGACGTCACGGGTGATGCGGTGCGTATTGTGTTCTGGAAGTTATCCTTGCGTGACACACACACACGCACCGCATTGGTTTACAGCAGCTCTCCACCCTCTCTCTCTTTCTCTCTCTCTCTCTCTTCCCCTCCCCTCTCTCACCCTCTGTCTTTCTCTCCCCCCCTCTCTCTCTCTCATAACTTGGGTGCGTGGAACACCACGCTGTGTATAGCGGCGGTGTGGGTGGTAGACACAGGGATAGATTACGATGTGTCACCAGTATATACCAAGACGGTGTTTTTTCTATTACTCACAGCCTTGATAGTGCCACTGCCCCGGCAACACAATTTCCTACCTCCGTGTGCTAACCACATATATTATCATCAGCTAATATTAGCTCTTGATATTATCGGTACATGCGTAATGTACCAAGGCGATATATACTGTTATATATAATGACGTATATATAATTATGCTCACGGTGTGTGGCCCTGGCTTTCAGTCCTTTTTAGATATACAGTAGATTATGCCAAAATTATTAGCTAAATTAAACACAAAAATGTCAATAAATAATGAGCGATGAATTAGCCGGTTTGATCTTAATCGGACAAGTTTGAGCCGCGTGCAAATACCCTCATCGTGTATCATCGGGACGGCGCCTGCCTGGCAAATTGGCGTAAATCCGTTATATATCTGCGTGCCCGTTTGTGTGTGGGGGGGGGGCGTGAGTGCGCGTGTGTGCGCGTGCATGTGTGTGCGTGTGTGCATGTGCGTGCGTGTGTGCATGTGCGCGTGAGTGCATGTGCGTGCGTGTGCGTGCGTGCGTGTGTGCGTGCCTGTGTATGGTTGAGTTCGTGCGTGTGTATACAATAATTAATAAGGCATACCTCCTTTATCCAGTCATAGCAACCTTTAGATCCGGATCCTATCATAAATGACATACGACCGTTATTTAAACAAATGTGATCGCACAACAAACTATATATTTTCCCAGTTATAAATAGCCAACTGGCTATAGATGGTTTCCTATCGCTAGGCGGTGACTTCCAGGGGTGGGGCCTATATAGACGGTCAACAAGAATATTTAGGACGATTCCCATCGTCAACAGACATATGTTACCATTGCTTTCGCAAATATATTTACGCCTGCCGTGAATTGACACGCCGCCGCGCGTGAAAACCCGCGACCCGCACACGTGTGTAGGCGACAAGAGATAACCACGCAGCGGCATCGTCCGTCGTTGGTGAGTCATCGACAAGGCTTAGTCACGTGTGACGACGCAGACTCGCAGACTCCTCGTCATTGATCATGCTCTCGTGGCGCCGGCGCCAGTCATCCGATGGTTATTACTCCTGTTATTACTGATATACTGGTGGATTTTACTGGTGGAGCCCGTATGACTACATATCAGCTACTCAACGCGAGGTTTGGCAATACGAGAGATGTCCTAATACGAGGATTGGGCAGGGGCGCGATCTCCATTAAAAACATGGCGAGAGCAAAAGTATTCTATTTATTAGGAAAACAATAATGAAACGAACTCTGTCTAGGTACGCCAACCCCAACTACAGTGACAGCGAGTGATAGATAGATGGATGGATGGATGGATGGATGGATGGATGGATGGATGGATGGATGGATGGATGGATGGATGGATGGATGG